CTCTCTCTCTCTCTCTCTCTCTCTCTCTCTTAGTTATAAATTATATTTATACACATGTAATAGACAATATAGAATATTCATAAGGTATGAATTGTAAAATAGTTCCTCAATATAAAATTATTTTAAAAATAAGCTTAGTAACTTATTGACACTATTGAGACATGATTTCTTGTTGGCTATAAAATTATATTATATTTGTTTAGATCTTGAGATAATTGAGTTTAAGTTAATTCAACAGTATTGCCAATAAGAAGAAGTTGTATTGGATTCTTATGATTGATATCATGTCTAATATATTGTCGTATTATAGCAGTATTGATATGAACGGCAAGTATTGACTTAACAAATGTGATGTAATTGTCGGCCAAAACATTGCTAATAAAATAGATTGCAATGAGATATGAAAGGGAATTATGAAAGTCCAGGTCCTGTCGTCACACAAATTATACAATGAGTCGCGAAATTGACTGATAGTTAATATAAATTACATCTAAAACTTTGTTCAATTGAGAGCACAGCCGAGAAATTCAATCCTTTAATCCTTAATAAAAGTTTTGGTGCGAAAGTCTTATAACAATGAATAATAACAGTCTGTTTGCAATTTAAGGGCTCAATGGAAAGCAGATCTAATGCTTTATACAGTCTAATACCAGTTTGTCTTGTGAATTATTTTATCCATTTTTTACCATCGTTAATATTTGCATTCATACATAATTTAAATACTTGCAGTACAATGCTATACAAATATTAAAACATTAAACAGTATATAAGTATATAAACATTGGATATTCCAATAGATTATACAATAAAATGGCATTAAATTAGTAATTGCAAAATAATAGCCTATTGCTATGGTTTGTTTAGTTTTGCAACACTAATCTTAATATTTTGAGGTAAAGTTAACTTTCAGTTTTAATTAATTCATTCATTATAACAATATATACTTGTAAATGCTTATAAATACTAACTCGTAAGATACTAATTGCTTTTTATACAACATCTGAGAAGTATTGACAATATATAAAATCGGGTTTCACTGTAAACCGATTCTAACCTATTCTCAAATAACTAAATCATTACTGAATATACAGTATTAGATGGCAAAGGGATGACTATAAGAGAGTTCAATCACAAGCTTATAGTCTTACAGCCAGTGTATGATATACTGTGGAAAGAGTGTTGAACTTAACATTTGATTCTCAATGTTCTCAATGCTCTCAATGCTCTCAATGCTATCACTTATGTGTTCAGTGGGAGAAAAGTCACCAATCAATTCATTATTTATATCAGTCTATCACTGATACCAGTGATGATCAACGGATTGTATTTTGCTTATCATTCCGTAACACATATGACAAAAGTGTTCATATTTTGCCTGACATTCTCACATTTAAACATATTATTTGCTAATATTTGTGGCATGTTTTGCATGACAAGTATCATAGGATGGCAGGCTTGTCGAGAGGCCTGTCCACCATTGATGGCGATTGTGATTATCTATTATTGCACTCACTTTCTGTGCGAATGAAACGAAGCGTAAGTGAAACTCTTGCCCTCGTATTCACCGAAAAACCTACTGTCGCCCAGCCGTATGTGGTATATCTCATTACCAGAGCACTTGCCGTACAGTCGATGCCATTCCTCGTCAGACGTTTGCCCTTCTCTATGAAGTGGTTCAAGAAAAATAAAAGAGAAAAATACACAAACAGTTAGAGATTGAGTAATAAATTTAATTAAGGCTTTAGTTGTTGTGTTGCGTTGAAAGACAATATGATTTTGTTATTGTCTTCCAGTGCTTAACACAAACAATAAGAGAACTTCTCATTCGCTGTGATTTGATGCGGGTTTACATAAAAACGGCGACACTTTTAATCACTTTATAATAAATTTGCAATTTAATTAAAACTACTTTTATTCACAAAAGGCTTCGCTGACATAAGAGGCGTAATAATTTAGAAAAATGTGTTTTGAAGTGGTAAAATTTAATTTAGTGAAAAACATACTGTCCTCTGGATGTGTGGAGTAGTAGTGTGACCAAAGTGGAAGTGCCCGGACATAAGCAGTTGTTGGCCAACAGAGCGTATTTGAATTCATCCTCACAGACCACATGTTCTAAGTGTTGTCACGTTTTTTGAAAAATTTTCGTTTAAGAAAGTTTTTTTCACACGAATTAAGACATTAAATGACTTGTTATTAGTTACACGTCTATTTTGTGCAACTCTTGGTAAAATTGGTTTTTAATTGCAAATTTTAAAGCTAATAATACGGTTAAATTTAAACTAGAAATTAAAGTCACGACAAATAGACTTTTAATGAGTTTCACTGTGAATCCAATATAAAAGCTCATTAAAAACATAACAAAACTTCGATCGAGAATTCAATTATAAAATCAATTAAACTTTTCATTTGGTGTCACAAATGATTATGTGCTCAGACTTTCAATCGTATTTGAAAAGAAGTTGAGAAATTTAAATCAAAATTCCGGACATTGAGTGGAAAATGAAATTTTAATAAAAACTTTATCTTTTAAATTGTATAATCATTTGTAAGTGAATGAAAGAATTTTCTTTTGAAATCTTATTTCATTTGTAAGAGAAGTATTTGCAAAGAATAAAGTATTTTTTTGTTAAATTAATAGCAAATAATTTAAATATCACATAACTTAGATCTTATTAAATACTGTGCATTCTTACTCTTTTATATAACAGTAAAACTTGATAAAAAAATAATACTGTAAATTAAATAAACTTTCTTGAGTATTCAATTCAAGCAATGAAATAAATTTTATTTTACAGACGAATAAATAAATATTTCAGTAAAATTAATTAATCATGTTAATTTGAAATAGAATAAATTGAATTAATTTATATAAAATATGTGAGATATAATTACATAAATTTAGCTCTAACTCTATTACCGGTATATTATTTTAATGTCTTAATTGATTAGTATTTGTTTGTTGGTAACCATACCTGCAAAAGCGACGTGTATTTTATTTTCGGGTCTAAATATTTGTATATATTGTGGAACATTGGGTGCAAAATCACGAACAGCCCACGACCTCAATATTGTGTGCTCGTCCTAATCGGTCAACCATTTCATACAATTAGATACCAATTCACATAATAGTTATAGTTTATAGACACTAGTAAATAGCAAACAATACGTACGGCGGCTGATCTATCAATGTAATTTCTGGCCGCTAATATAAAACATGCCTCGGCAGCATTCATCCTGTTCAAATTAATTATAATAATTCAAATTAGAGTAATATTATTTTTAAATTATAATTCTTTATAAATTTAAATTTAAATATTCACTAATTGAGACATTTGGAGATTTTTTTTCTTTCTATTCCTTTATAATAAACAATATTTAAAATCAATATTAAAATAATAAATAGGTTATTTATAACAACAAGTGTACCTCTTGTATGCAAAAACTTTGTTTAATTGTCTATTCCTTTGAAATTTTTTCATTGCAATTAATTTGTAGGTTTTAGTCCTTTGTTTACATAATTCAATCAATAAATTCTACACAAAAGCAATGAATGACATAAAAGTGTTAATTTAATGATAACATCACAAAGACTCCCTTTTTTGATCAAATATTTTCAAAACAACTCCATTATTATTGTCATAAAAGTACTTCTGAATTTCATAACTAATATTGAATTTAATTAGTAAGTTTGTAGCTATAGTTTTAGTTTTGCTTAAAAGTAGAACTGTCACTTGAAATGTACTCGAGATAACATATAAATTAAAAATTCATTTTAATCTTTAAATAAAATAATATAGTTTTAATTAATGTCAAAATTGTTAATATTAACCTGGCTCGTGTGAGATCAGTATCTTTAAGTGCTGAGCCCTGAATATATATGACCCTCTGGGCCCACATCGGCACTTGTAGTATCATTTTCATAGTGGTGTCCAATTCGCACGGGGATAACAAAACCACATAAAAATCCTATAATATAATCGACGTGTTATTAAATGTAAATTCAATATAATTGTTATTTCAAAAATTAAGTAAATATCAAGTTTAGTAGGATTAGAGGTTTGCCACACATTTAAATCATGTAATTAATTGTAAAGCATATAAAAAGTTGCGACATGTGTAAATAAAGTAAAGCTTTTAATTACTCTCATTTAAATAATATTAAGTTTAATTTGAACATTTAAATTGAAAACCGGCAATAAAATAAACAAATAAGTAGAAAATATTGGTAGTTATAGTTTCTAACTAGTCAGGATAGTTTTAAACTTTTCTTATGGATATTTACTACTTATTCTAATCATCTATAATATATTCATAAAATATTTTCGTAATTAGATTTATTTCTATCAAATTATTTGTTTCCTAATATTACACATGAAAACTTGAAAATGTTTATGTAAATTATGTTAAATTTAAAAGTTCAAAACTTAAGATATATGATAGACAAGGGATCCATTATGACAACTACAGTGTAGTCTTACTTGTAGTAAAGGGTGTGCATAAAACTCATTAAGAAAGTCCATTATAGTGTCCGAGCGTAATGTCGTACTGCAAACCACCACATGTTTCTCAGTCTGCGCCCTATGTATACTATTTGTGCAAAAAGATTAATATTTTATTTTGTCAAAAGTAAATTTTTATAAATCTAAATATATCTATAAACATGAAATTTATTTAAATGTCAAGTATTTTTCATGAATTTTGCTGAAAAAATCAATATACTTTTTAATATCAAATCCTGTGGTAGAGTACATGATAATATTTATTTGCTTGTTTCCTACAGCAGACACTCGTTACTGTAAAAAGTGCTCAAAATTATTACACAATTTTGTGTACCGCATGTCTGTGTGCTAATAGAAAACATTATCATTCCGGGACTACTGTACACAACCGCAAGTGTATAAATAATTTACTTTTTAAACTACACATTAGCACTGGTAGTGTTGTTGATATATCGACTGAATGTATATTCGGCTATGATCTTAAAAACTTTTGAGACTTTCGTTGTGTATTTTGCAGTCATAACGTATGTTTTGAAATGAATGTTAAGAATAACAGCAAATATAGCGATATATTCAGTACATAAAGAATTGTTTATTCTTTAGGGCATTGAATAAATAGAAATGCATTAACAAAATACTTCTAATGCACCACCAATTTGCTAACTTTAAAGTATTTTTATGTTTAAATTTTATTTAGCATTTTTATCAAAAATATTTTTATATGACTCTTTCAAACAAAAATGTATCCATATATCATATGTGTATTATCTACTGGATAGCAAAAGTGACATTTTTATTACACAATGAAATTAACTAAAATCTAATCCATAACTAGTAAATAGGTATATAATTGAATATCAATTATTTAATGTAAAATGCTGATCAATAATCCAATAAATAAATGCATTACACATAAAATATTGATTCCTTTTTTATTAGACAGGTTACAAAAGGAAAATTTATTCAATAACTGAACCGTTTGTTCAAATATTTCTAGTTTAGAAAGTTTACGGTTAAAAGTCTAGAGCTTAAAGTGTGGAAATATTGGTTACTTTTATTGACAACATCGTTTTTATCCACATCTATAACCAGGCTTTCATATGAAGGCTTATTTCTATATACGCTATACTATATTGTCGATTCAGTTCCGACTTAAATGTCAGCAAAAATACATATAAAAAATGGGGTAAAAAATTAAATTCTTTTCTCATGGATTACAACAGAAATGCATTTAACATATCGGAAAAACAGGAGAAAGAAAACAAACTCTAAACGATATAACGATATAATAAATGACACAATATTTTTGGCATAAAAACTAAAAGAAACTTGTTAAACAGTTGTTAAATAATATATAATACAATAAAAATGAGTTTGATGTCTATATAAGGAAGCAATTAGTGGATAAAACAGATTTCAATATTGTATATTAATAGCAACTAAATTTTAATATAAAACTAAATATAAATATATGCCATTAAACGACAAAATAAATAAATTAGTTTGCACTGTATGCGCGTATATGTGATACCTGTAACTGCCACCAAGTTTTTGTCTCTCCATCCAAGTGTAGGCTAACTGTTCAAACTGTGTGGGCAACACAATTAAGGCCACGCATATCATGATCACCATAAATAGTTGTGACGGCCAACGATCCGGCTTATAGTCGCCATAACCTACTGTGGCGAACGTCACCACAACAAAGTATAGGCTCTCAAACAGATCCACATTTCGACCGCCAGCCCTCTGGAAGTGCTGATAACCGCAAACACTAGTCATATAATTGTTAGAAAACGGGGTTCAATATAAAGTTGTGAAGCATTAGATTGAAATGTGCAGTTGTACCTGGTAAATATTAGACATAGTAGAGTGGCCGATAATATCATGAGCCGCTGGGATAGGGCTGACTGTGACCTTTGCATCGCCCGGTGCAGGTCATTCTGAGGGGTAGTAATTATGAACAGTATTTAGTAACTAAAATTCAAGGCTATGTTCAAATTGAATTCATTAATAGTGAAAATGAATTGACTCGAAAATCCTATTATTATTTATGACTTTTATTTGTTAATTAAGTTTCACATCAAGAAAGCGATTACAAACTCAAAGACTTTGATTCAATTTGAGTCACACATTGTTTTTCAATTAACTATTTTTTTGTTTGTATTTGACGTGTGTTTGTGAAGCTGGTGGAGGACTGTAGGGCTTAAATGATATGAAATGGGATTTTATTTCCAAATACATTAACTCAGAGGCTGAGGGAAACATTTTTCGCTCAAATCTCAGACTTCTTGAGAGTACATGAAATATAATTCACTCAAACAATGTGTTGAGTGCATTCATCCATAAATTGAAAATGTGTTATATTTTGTGTTTTAGTCGCACTGACACTGTATTACATGAAATCGTATTACGGATTCAGTCAGTCTTCACATTTATTTTACTCCTATTTATAGTTTAATGAGAATCACGAATATTCTCATACTATTCGGTATTCTGACTATTAAACTATTTTTGGAGTAGTTTCTTGCATATAGACAATTTACCTAGAATACCGTATATTTTTATTTTAAATTTAAGAACTTTCATTTATTAGATTTAAAGTTTGTGTAAATCCTATAATTCAATTACATATTCAATAAAATTCATAATAATATTCTTATAAAGAACTTGTAATCAGTGTTAAGTATCGCCTCAAGTAATTACAGTTAATTTACTTAATTCCTGGCATTTATATACAGAATATTGAATTAAGAGAGACTAATAGGCTTCCCGTGATTCATAAGACATACATATTTGCAGAATATTGTTGAATGTATGCAATGGTGTAATACTCACAAACATATTCTCGAGCGCATGCTTTGCGAGCCAACAGTTCAGAAATCCAGGTATGAATAGATTACGCAATGGAGACCATATGAGCTGCGAATGTAATGTAGTGGACAGTTATGTGGAGGCCATAAAAAACAGTTTTGTGTAAATCACTGAACACACGATTGCATGTAATTCAATGAGTAATGAAAGAAAAAAGTCTATGGTTTTCATAATCAACGGTTAAGTCGATAAATAAGGAATGAGAGGTCGTTATGAAGTTATGGAGAGATAATCTAATAATAATAATAATAGTCTTGGTCACATATTTGCTTAATAGCTGTGGCAATTTATGGGCACATATTTAAACAAAAAGCCATTATTCTGGCAAATCATTTGGTTTTACTCGCTATCATTTTTGTCTTAACCCCGATCGCCTGCCAGTCCCCATACGGTTAATAGTGTGTTTCATACACTTATTGGTTACATATAGTAATGAGAAAAATGTTTTCCTCGGTTTCTCATCGATAGGCTGACCACTCATTGAATGTAGAGATCATGTGTTTGTGTCGATACATACTGTGGCGACAAACGGCGCGTTGTTTACGATTTCCAAAATAAAATGAAACGATAGAAGTGTTTGCAATACATTTCCCTATAAATCAAAATAATGTCCACAATTAACAAAAATAGTGCATTAGTTAAATGTAGGTTTCTCAATGCTAGTCTATACTCCATATATTGAACGTAAGCATAACCCTCTCCATACTTGATCCCATTATCGCACCGGGATCTTTCTACCAATCAATACAATATCACACTAAATGTGTATATCCTAGGATAAAATTCTTGCAACTTTTTGTATGTATGTTCATAGTATAGAGTATGGCATTATTTGGAGAAAATCTATTTTAAAGTTCAATTTGATCGTTAATGGAAATAATTTTAATTAAAAATGAAAGCGTAAAACGATTGTAAAGTTAATACAGTAATTAAATTAATGATTTTAATGGAAACATACTTTGTATGACAAATAGGCTAATAGTAAGGCTTCTGCGAGACATATGAGTGCAACACTTGTCTGTATGTATCGAAAGTGAATAAAGGATTACATTTTAGAGACATTTAATTATAAAAATATTTTAAATAATTCACGAAATAATTGATTAATTACTTGGAATATCCATAAAATGGGAGGTCTGTCCACATATATTATTGCATTCCTGTTTGACAATAAATAGTTTAAATGATTTGCACTATTAATGTTATATAAATGTTGATTATGTTGAATACCAATTGAGTGGTGTTGACGTATAATTGAGTGAATACCCAAAACTCCCTCTTATATCCCAACCACGTTCCCAACCAAAGGGAGGGTAGGAAAAGGGATAGTTGACTGATGTGTTGTTTGTATCGTTTGTAGGACACCCATAGCTAGAATTTATAAAGTTATTTAAAGTTTTACATGTAATTCAATATTAATTTCAATAGAAGATATAAATTTATAATTTATATTTAAAAATAATTGGTTATACAGTGTATTGATGTATTGAAAACATTATAGTTAATGCCATAAAAAATAATACATAAATTGATAGAAATGAAAATTATAAAATAAAAGATAAACTTTACCATTTTCAATAAGGATTTTATGGCAAATAAATAAATTTAATCCAAAAACTAAATACTAGTACTACAAAGAACATAAAGAACTTGCCTTTCATTGCTATTTATAGTAAATATTTGTTTTTAATGCGATTACAAAACATATTATAATGTATTTAAATAAAAAGTTTCTACGAAAAATTCATAAAATAATAATTTTTTAATTAAGAATATTTTCTATAGAAATAAATCCTCAAAATGTTGCCATTACTTTATTTGACACTAAAATATTAATTAAAATTGGATTTGAGTTTAATTTCAATTGACATGAAACGGTACAAATATTTAATGTAAATTCCTGGAAATTTAAACATTTAATTTCTAAATAGATAAAAATTGCTACACCAGGATGCTATAGAAAATTAAGGCTCATTTAATAATTATGTTTAAAAATGTGAAACAATGGCTTATATGTACCAATTAGCTGATGTCGGCCCGCTATCCAATACAACACGCAATACGTATAAAAGACAAGCAATTAGTTTAAGCACTGTTTTAATGATACGGATCCGTAAACCTGTGGAAAAGGTATAAGAAAAACAGATACAAATAGTTTTGTATCAAAATTAATTGGACGGAAAAGTTTTGTTTTCTAAATTAGTCTCAATATTATTCAATAAATAGAAAAGTGTGTGTAATATGGATGACGGGAATGGGATTATAAAATAGCTATATATATCATATAATAAACGGTAAAATACTCACTCGATCGTTGATTTTTGATGAAATATAACTGCAATCTCTCTTTTAGTGTATTTTCATTCACATAAAACTCGACGCGAACTCTGAAAAGAAAGCAAAAATTGATATAAAACTCAAACTTTAATATAAATAATGCTTTTGTTTGGAATAAAGTATAAATGGTATCATAAAACAGACACTCAAAGGTATCACAAAATTGACTTAAAGACAGTTTATTTAAGGGTTTACTAGTATTTATTGAATATACCCAGTATTATGCATTTAAGCAAAAAAAGTCTCTGATTATCGGTTTAAATAAATTGAAAGACATATAAGAAATCACTCCAAGAGTTTATCTAACATTACAATACACTTAAGGTTTTAACGTTACAGACAACTGATTGAACGATTCCTGTGACAAGATTTTTATTAACACTTATTTTAATATTAGTTAAACTTTTAATGTTTCATATAATAAGCAAGGAATTTATACATATATTCATCTAATTTAAAACACAGTATACAAAATATTTGAATAAAATGTAATTTACATTTCAATTATTTACATCAATATAATTTAAATCATTAAAATACTTCAATCTAGTATTTCTATCATACATCTCGTATTACTTGAATTGCCATTACCAAAAAAACTATCAATAATAATAATGAAGCAAATAATTGGTATAAATTTAGGGTCTTTTAAAAACACCAAAACCTATTCATCTATTGTTACAACAGTATCGCTCATTTGGTAACACAATTTGACAGCGAATTACTGATCAAAATAAAGCATCATTTGTTTATAAATCTCTTTTTGCTTTTAGAAAAAACTTTTATTAAAATTAATTTCTTCCGACTATAAACAGAAGGTTTCGTAAAATTATTATTGATTTTTCATTTTTTATGTCACTTTTTATGTGTAAACAAAACAAAATTTATTGTTTGTTTGCAATAACTGTCACATCGCCATTTCATTGCCATGATTAATAATAATTAGCATTTTATTTTTTACAGAATCTACATGTTATTTTTAGAAATTTAATAATTAATAACCAATTGTTTGCAAACAAGTTTAACTACATGTGCATAAATTATATATTCAAGTAAGTACATACAGTATACAGTACTGTATATCATAAGTATATAAAACCCACAAAAAGGAGTTACGAATAAAATCTTCATATAATAAAAAAGTGAAGATATTTATAGCCATTATGTCAATGAATAAGGAGAGCATCGATAAGAAACAAAAATGATTTCTCGAGAAATACTCATTTTCGCGACAAAGATGACAATCACTGAAAGTATGGAAAAGGAAAAAATTCATAAGAATTATCGAAATAAAAGCCATAAACGATATTCAGTTTCCAAATAACCCAAAATATAATCCCATTTCCATCAGATATACGGTCTATGAATCGTACGTTTATAAGGAATTACACCCAATCGTGACATTATTATAAAAGATACAGAATATTCTTGTACAGTATTATTCCTTGAACATATTGACCCAAAAAATAAAATCAATTATAATGACTCTTATAGTGAATATCTTTGAA